TGCCTGAACCCAGGAGGCGGAGGTTGCGGTGAGCCGAGATCGCGCCACTGCACTCCAGCCTGGGTAACGAGCGAAACTCCGTCTCAAAAAAATAAATAAATAAATAAATAAATAAATAAAAGATTCTCCATGCACTAGCATTTCAATTTACATGATCTCTCTCTCATTCTTTCTACACACATGCACATGCATGCACACACACACACACTCTTTTTAAATAAACAATTTGAAAGGAAATTACAGATACTATGGTACTTTCTTTATATATCTCAAGTATAAAGACATGTTTTCTATATAATTACAATAACATTATTATACTTAAGAAAATTAATGGTAATTCAATAAAACCACTCATTATATAGTTCTTATTGAAATTTCCTTAATTGTTTTCCCACTTTTGAAAATCCAAGATGTTATCAAATTCATGTATTACATTTATTTATGTCTCTTTAGTTTCTTGTAATCTAAAAGAAAATCCATACTTTTTATATTTCACAACAATGACTTATAGAACGTCCCAAATTCTGGATGGATTTCTCTAATTGTTTTGTGGTGATTATATTTATTTAAATATTTCTGGCAAGACCCCTTCATATATGGTATATATATTTCTTACTGCATTACACCTGTAAGTCTATAGTTAAGGTGGTTTTACTATTAGTCATCTTAATTTTTTTCACTTGTCAAAGATTCTGACCACCAAAACCTTCTTTTGTAAAGATATCGTTTTCTATTAGTAAACATAAGTAATCCGTGGATAATACTTTGAGACCATATGAAGATTCTGTTTTCCTGTGTACTTTTATCCAACGGGTTTAGATTCCTTTTTTTTTTTTTTTTTTTTTTTGAGACAGAGTCTCACTCTGTCACCCAGGTTGGAGTACAGTGACATGATTGTGACTCACTGCAGCCTCAACCACCTGGGCTCAATCGATTCCCCCACCTCCTGAGTAACTGGAGGTACAGGTGCCTACTAGGCTACTAGCCACCATGCTCAGCTATTTTTTTTTTTTTTTTGTAGAGACAGGGGACAAGGTCTCCCTATGTCTCAAACTCCTGGGCTTAAGCCATCTACCCATCCCTGTCTTTCAAAGTGCTGGGATATAGGTGTGAGACACTGCTTCCAGCTGATTCCATTTTAGATCCTTGCCCGATTCAGTTTCAGAATTTGGTAGATGCAAAATGATGATTTTTTAAAAAAATTGTATTTATTCCTTATTTATTTATCAATTGGCATTCTTTTATAAAAACAAGTTTTTCCTTTTCTCTTCCCCTCCCTAGCCCCACCTCCTAAGCATTACTATTGATGAATGGAATTTATTTTTATTCAATATTTCTAAGCCATTATTGTCATTTTCTTTCTGATGTTCTAATTGTCTGGCTAGTATGGCATCTGTGTCTTTTTGACATGGCTCAACCTGTTTCTCCAAGAAGCACTAATTCCGTTTAGTAGGGAATGATAATTATTGTTTTTGTTTGTTTGTTTATTTATTTTTTGGAGACCAAGTCTTGCTCTGTCACCCAAGCTGGAGTGCAGTGGTTCAAGGCTGCATAGTTTACTGCAGCCTTGAACTCCTGGGCTCAAGCAATCCTCTCTGCTTCAGCTTCCTAAGCAGCGCTACTATAGGCTCATGACACCATGCCTGGCTGATTTTTGAATTTTTCATAGAGACAGAGTTTTTCTGTGTTGCCCAGGCTGGTCTTGAACTCCTGGCCTTAAGTAATCCTCTCACCTTGACCTCCCAAAGTACTGGGATTACAGGTGTGAGCCACCACTCCTGGTGAGGAATGATTTTTAGAAGGCGAGACTTGGGTACTACATGTGTTCAATACTACTGGGTAATCATTACTTCTAGACATTTTCAGAAATAGGAAACAAGTAAATATATGTATATGGTGGTATTTGTCCAGAAGCAGAAAGTCTGTGTAGAATAATTTAAATAAATGGTTATTCTCCTTTATTGTGCTAAAATCAAATGGTTTGGTATAGTTTTCAATATTTGATATGGTAAATATTGCTTTATTTTTATTTATTTATTTATTTTTATTATTATTATTATTTTTTTTTTTGAGACGGAGTTTCACTCATGCTACCCAGGCTGGAGTGCAATGGCATGATCTCGGCTCACCGCAACCTCCGTCTCCTGGGTTCAGGCAATTCTCCTGCCTCAGCCTCCTGAGTAGCTGGGATTACAGGCACGCGCCACCATGCCCAGCTAATTTTTTGTATTTTTTTTTTTTTTTTTTTTTTTTTGGGACGGAGTTTCGCTCTTGTTACCCAGGCCGGAGTGCAATGGCGCGATCTCGGCTCACCGCATCCTCCGCCTCCTGGGTTCAGGCAATTCTTCTGCCTCAGCCTCCTGAGTAGCTGGGATTACAGGCACGTACCACCATGCCCAGCTAATGTTTTGTATTTTTAGTAGAGACGGGGTTTCACCATGTTGACCAGGATGGTCTCGATCTCTTGACCTTGTGATCCACCCGCCTCGGCCTCCCAAAGTGCTGGGATTACAGGCTTGAGCCACCGCGCCCGGCCTTGCTTTATTTTTATTTCCAAGCTTTTCTTGGCTATTCATGACTTTTTTTTTTTTTTTTTTTGAGAGATGAGGCCTCTGTTGCCGAGGCTGGAGTGCAGTGGCACAATCTCGGCTCACTGTAACCTCTGCCTCCCTGGTTTCAAGCAATTCTCCTGCCTCAGCCTACCAAGTAGCTGGGATTACAAGCACGCACCACCATGTCCAGCTAATTTGTGTATTTTTAGTTCAGATGTGATTTCACCATGTTGGCCAGGCTGTTAGTGAACTCTTGGCTTCAACTGATCCATCCGTCTTGGCCTCCCAAAGTGCTAGGAATACAGGTCTGAGCTATCACACCAGGCCCATTTCTTCTTTATTTTCTTTTTTTTTCTTCTATTCTTTGTCCCTCTAGAGAACTGTTTTTTCTTTTATAGGAATTTTATATTCAAGCTTCTTCCTCAGAAATCTTGGAGAAATTTGATTGGGATTGTGTTAAATTTAATGATTTGGAAATAATTGACATGTTTAAATATTGAATCTTTCCATCATGACGTGTCTTTTCATCAATAAATTATTGTTTATGTCCTTTGGCAAAGGTTTGTGGTTTTTATCACATAGATCACTTTTAAAATAAAGATTATATGCCTAGATATATTTGATGGCTATTGCTATTTTGAATGGACACTTTTTTTCAATTTATCTTTCATGAAGCTGGACTATTGTTGGTTTATTGAAAACTTATTTTTTCAAATTTATCTTCTAGCTTTAACTTAGAATTTGCAGCTTTATTTAATAGTTTGTCATACTACTCTTGGGTTTTCTAGGTATCTGATCATACTCTCTAAAAATAACTATTGTATTTCATTGAGCCAAAGACATAATAAATTGTGAAGTGCACCATAATTTTATATACCATTAAGAAAGTAAAAACACTGCTATTTATAATTGTAAGATACCACCAAGTGTAAGGCATCCCAATTTTAGCAATGTGAAAATAATGTGAAAAAATTCTTAGATTCAAAATATGTTGTATTTTGTGTCTCCTTTTTACTGGTTTTACCTAATTTTTTTCTGTTATATTTAATGAATTGGTAAAAACTCACAGGGAAGCAGTAAGTAATAATGGTAAGGTATTCTTATTTTTGATTAAGCCCTTAAAAGGATTGAGTAATGAATTTTCTCTGATCTGTAAATTCCAAGAATTCAGATTTCTATTGAAGAGAGACTGGAGGTACATCGCTAACATTATCTTGATTTGTATGAGTAGAATTGGTACCAAATATCAAGTAGAGCTTCAAGCATAATAAAATATTTAACGATGAGGTTAACAAAAGAAATGTGTAAGACTTGTATTCTACAAACTGCCAGACATTGCTGAGAGAAATCACGGAAGATTTAAATAATGTAAAGATATTCAGTGTTGGTGTTAGAAGTTTCAATATTGTTAAGATGCTGGTTCTTCCCAAATTGATCTGTGGATTCAATGCAATCCCTGTCAATTTTTGTAGAAATGAACAAAGTGATCTTAAACTATATATGGAGTTGCAAAGGACCCAGAAGAGCCAAAACGATTTTGCAAAAGAAGAAAGTTGGAAGACTTGATGCTTCTTGATTTCAAAGCTAATTCTTGATTTTTAGACAGTGTGGTACTGACATAGGATAGATGTATAGATCAACATCATTAGTCATTAGGGAAATGCAAATAAAAATTCTAGTGTGATACCACTTCACACCCACTAGAATGGCTGTTGTCAAAAAATCAGACAGCAATGGTGTGTAGAAACTATACCCCCCATGCATTTCTGATAGGAATGTAAAATGGTGGGGGCACTTTGGAAAACCATTTGGCAGTTTCTTTAAAAGCTCAACAGAGTTAACATATAACCACACAAAGATTCATATTCATACTTGCCCCAAAGTGGAACTATCCAAACGTTTATCAACTGATACATGGATAAATGTGGCATATCCATGTAATGGAATACTACTCAGCAATCAAAAAGGAACTGTTAATACATGACAACATGGATGAACCTCACAAACATGATTCTAAGTGGAAGAAGTTAGACACAAAAGATCACATATTGGCCGGGTGTGGTGGCTCACGCCTGTAATCCCAGCACTTTGGGAGGCTGAGGCAGGTGGATCACGAGGTCAGGAGATCGAGACCATCCTGGTCAACATGGTGAAACCCCGTCTCTACTAAAAATACAAAAAATCAGCTGGGCATGGTGGCGCATGCCTGTAATCCCAGCTACTCAGGAGGTTGAGGCAGGAGAATTGCCTGAACCCAGGAGGCGGAAGTTGCGGTGAGCCGAGATCACGCCATTGCCTCCAGCCTGGATAACAAGAGTGAAACTCTGTCTCAAAAAAAAAAAAAAAAAAAAAGATCACATATTGTGTGATTCACTTTACATGAGATTTTCAGAAAAGATAAAGGTAAATCTAGAGAAACAGAAAGATAAGTGTCTGCTTGGGGATGGGCTGGGCTGCAAATGGGTGTGAAGGAATTTTTTGGGGTGATGGAAACATCCTAAAGATGGATTGTGGTAATGGTTGCATAGCTCCATATATTTATTAAAAGTCATTACATTGCACATTTAAAGTGTGTAAATTTTACTTCAGTCAAACTTTTTATAAAGAAATGTAAATGAACACGTAAAATGTGTCAAACAGGCAGTGTGCTGAAAGAAGGTATCAGGAGAATCAGGACACTGTTTACAAATTTAATGATTGAGTTTGTCTGTCTCCTGCAGTTTACAGCTCCTGGATGAAACAGCATGGAGGATCTATTGTCAATATCATTGTCCTTACTAAAACTGGATTTCCATTAGCTGCGTAAGCATTTTTGTATTGTTTTATTCCTATGTCTTTTGAGTTTTCTCTTCTGAATAGGAGAAGTGGGATAGGGAACATTTCTTAGATTAAGATCATTAAGCTGGGCAAGGTGGCTCACACCTGTAATCCCAGCACTTTGGGAGGCCAAGGTGGGTGGATCACCTGAGATAGGGAGTTTGAGACCAGCCTGACCAACGTGGAGAAACCCTGCCTCTACTAAAAATACAAAATTAGCCAGGCGTGGTGGCGCATGCCTGTAATCCCACCTACTCGGGAGGCTGAGGCAGGAGAAGTGCTTGAACCTAGGAGGTGGAGGTTGTGGTGAGCCGAGATCGTGCCATTGTACTCCAGCCTGGGCAAAAAGAGCAAAACTCCATCTCAAAAAAAAAAAAAAAAAAAAGAAAAAGAAAAAGTTCATTAATAGCTTTAATTAGTTGTGATTCTAATAGCTAGCTAGCATTTCCTTTTATTTGAGCTTAAAACTCAAAGTATTTCTAAAACATTCCCGTTCAGATTCGGGCTGCTAGATTTACCAAGGAAAGGGAAAATATTATTTGTTGTTTGTCTGATATTCAGATTAAACTGGATGTCTTGTGTTTTGGTGGCAACTCTAATCCAGATGCTACTGAACTGGCCATAACTGCCTGGGAATAGCTTATTTGTTAAAAGTGTAGAAATGAAACTAATCTATGTTAATTTAAATTTGAATACCATTAATATATATACTTGATTTTAGACAGTACTGCTAAGTTGTTGCTCCTAAAAGATAACTCAGGATTTTTTTTCCAAAAATTTCTAAGGTTTTGTGCTTCTGATTAGCTACTCTGTATGCAGACGGCGTGTCTCCTTTATGCAAATTCTAGCACCCTGCTCATTTCTTATAGTATTCAGAATTCCCACAGATGTATAAGATAGAAATAACATTCAACCTGGCTTAAGTAAAAGTCTAGGGCAGTGGTTCTCCAAAAGTGGCTTCCAGACCAGCCACATCATCATCACCTGGGAGAAGTTGCACAGCAAATTATCCAGCCCCACTCCAGATCTGCTGCAAGAGAAACTCTGGTGGCAGAGTGCAGCAGCCATCTGTACAGCCCCGAAGGGGATCCTGTAGAACCATTGTAGAACCTGTAGAACCTGTAGAACCACTGTCCTAAGGGCATGTTAGGTTCAGCCACAGTGCTAGAAGGAAGCTGCCTCTCCCTTTGGTTTTGCTTTCTTCATGTCTGCCTGCATTCTTTTTTTTTTTTTTTTTTTATTGGGAGGGAGGTTCTCTTTTTTTACCCAGGCTGGAGTGCAATGGCGCGATATCGGCTCACCGCAACCTCCGCCTCCTGGGTTCAGGCAATTCTCCTGCCTCAGCCTCCTGAGTAGCTGGGATTACAGGCACGCGTCACCATGCCCAGCTAATTTTTTGTATTTTTAGTAGAGACGGGGTTTCACCGTGTTGACCAGGATGGTCTCGATCTCTTGACCTCGTGATCCACCCGCCTCGGCCTCCCACAGTGCTGGGATTACAGGCTTGAGCCACCGCGCCCGGCTCTGCCTGCATTCTTAGGCAGGCTGTCTCTAGGTTTGGCAAAAAGAGAGTTCTAGCAAGAGTCAAAGATCAACACTGTCGCTGTTCGTAACTCTCCAATGAGAGACTGCCCCTTAAGTCATGCCAGCAAAAGCAATAATAATATGAGCGGTGTCAGCAGGCCCCAGAGAGGATACTCATTAGCTACCCTGTCATATGTCATATGTCCAGCCATTAACCAAATATTGTAGAAATGTGGTTGCTCTGCTGGGTGCAGTGGCTGATGCCTGTAATCCCAGCACTTTGGGAGGCTGAGGTGGGTGAATCACAAGGTCAGGAGTTCGAGACCAGCCTGGCCAATATGGTGAAAGCCCCATCTCTACTAAAATACAAATAAAAGCTGGGCATGGTGGCACATGCCTATAGTCCCAGCTATTAGGGAGGCTAAGGCAGGAGAATCACTTGAACCTGGGAGACGGGGGTTGCAGTGAGCCATGATTGTGCCATTGCACTCTAGCCTGGGCGACAGAGTGAGACTCTGTCTCAAAGCCTTGGCATAGTGGCTCACGCCTGTAATCCAAGCACTTTGGAGGCCAAGGCGGGCGGATCACCTGAGGTTGGGAGTTCAAGACCAGCCTGACCAACAGGGTGAAACCCCGTCTTTATTTAAAAAAAAAAAAAAAAAAAAGAAAAGAAAGAAATGAGATTGCTCTGCTATACATGGTCAGCCTGAGGAACATGGAACTGTGGTCCTCACTACTTGGACATGGACTGAGAACAGACAAGAGGTACTTCCTCAAATGGAAATCAATGTGATGTTACTAAAAACAGTAAAAAATGCTGTGCAGGCCAATAACACCATTATACCTTCTTTTCCTGCTTATTATTCTTTATGGATTTACCTGTTTCAGCATCTCGGGAGAAATAATTCAGATTATAGGTTCTTTTTGGCATTTCCCATCTTCACAGGCAACTACTGTTAATAGTTTTGGGGCATATCTTTTTCCTACATTTTATCAAAAAATGTAGGATACTATAAACAATATTCTATATCTTGATGTTCTCAAATGAAACAAATATCCTGGAGATATTTTCTTAACTGAATCTAAAAAGATTTCTTCTTGTTTTTTATGGCTGTCTTATATGCCACTTTATAAACCATAAGTAAAGTATGATTTATGAAACCATTTTCCAGTTGGTGAGCATTTGGGTTGTTTCCAACCTTTTGTTATTACCAAAACCAAACTAAAACCAAACTAAACACCTTTTATGTACATCAGATAGCGTGTGGACTAAATTGCAAGAAGTATAGTTGCTGAGTCCAAAGCCAAATGCCTTTGTAATTTTAATAGATATTGCCAAACTGCCCCTTAGAAAAGTTGTAGTTCCTTTGTAATGAGTGAAATTTATCCTCCTTCATGCATATGTAAGAAGTAATGAGAGTTTCTTTGCTTAAAACATATTTTTGAAATGAAATCAGTGGCTTTTCTGATATTCAGTTGAGTAGAAAAAAACCACAACTTGTCTTTGCTTTGGAAAAGAAGTGTTTCAGATATTTGTTGCTTTTGTTCTCTTAAGAATCGTTTCCTTTTCCAGTGGCTTTCACACTTTTGACCAGGACTCATAGTAAGAAATAAATTTCATATCTTGACCTAGTAAACACATATGTGTGTGTGTGTCTGTAGGCAAAACAAAATTCACAAAGCAAATCTATTACTATGTATGGTGCACTCTGATTTTTTTTTTTTTTTTTTTTTTTTTTTTGAGTCAGAGTTTTTGCTCTTATTGCCCAGGCTGAAGTACAGTGGTGTGATCTCGGCCCACCACAACCTCCGCCTCCTGGGTTCAAGTGATTCCCCTTTCTCAGCCTCCTGAGTAGCTAGGATTACAGTCATGCGCCACCATGCCCAGCTAATTTTGTATTTAGTAGAGGCGGAATTTCTCCATGTTGGTCAGGCTGGTCTTGAACTCCTGACGTTGGTTGATCTACCCACCTTGGCCTCCCAGAGTGCTGGTATTGTAGGTGTGAGCCACTGCATCGGCCCACAAGTTGTTTTTACATTAAGTATCTTTGAATAACCCCAAATTCATTTTTTAGCTAATGACCAACTTCCAGCCTCTGTGACTATAGAATTTGGAATATCTTGTGAGGTTTACCATAATGGAATTTGATATATTTGATTCTTATTCTGATTTTGATTAATTTTTCCATTGGCAATAGATATTTATTTTTTCAGAAAAGAAGTCACTGGGGCTGGGTGCGGTGGCTCATGCCTGTAATCCCAGCACTTTGGGAGGCTGAGGCGGGCTGATCACCTGAGGTTAGGAGTTTGAGACCAGCCTGGCCAACATGGTGAAACTCCATCTCTGCTAAAAATACAAAAATTAGCCGGGTGTGGTAGCACACATCTGTAATTTCAGCTACTTGGGAGGCTGAGGCATGATAATCACTTGAACCCAGGAGCAGTGGACTGTAGTGAACCAAGATTATGCCACTACACTGCAGCCTGGGATACAGAATGAGACCCTGTCTCCAAACAAAAAAAAAAAAAGAACTCAGTGACTTTATTTAACCTACTGTCTCAGTCATTTCTTTTCTTTTCTTTTTTTTTTTTTTTTTTTTTGAGACCGAGTTTCACTCTTGTTGCCCAAGCTGGAGTGCAATGGTGAGATCTTGGCTCACTGCAACATCTGCCTCCCAGGTTCAACTGATTCTTCTGCCGCAGCCTCCCGAGTAGCTGGGATTACAGGCATGCAGCACTATGCCTGGCTAATTTTTTGTATTTTTAGTAGAAACGGTGTTTCACCATGTTAGCCAGGCTAGGCTTGAACTCCTGACCTCAGGTGATCTGCCCGCCTCAGCCTCCCAAAGTGCTGGATTTACAGGCGTGAGCCACTGTGCCCCGCCTATCTCAGTTATTTCTTTCATAAGAGTCTAAAGGCCATCCAAACAGAACAAGGAGAAAAACAGTATGCCAATAATTTCTTTCGTAAGAGTCTAATGGCCATCCAAATAAAACAGGGAGAAAAACAAAAAAATAGGCTGAGGCACGAGAATCACTTTAGCCTGGGAGGTGGAGATTACAGTGAGCTGAGATCATGCCACTGCACTCTAGCCGGGGCAACAGCAAGATCAGACCCTTTCTCTAAATAAATACATATGCACATGCATACATATATTTTTTTGCTGATTTCTTTAGTATATTTTCAACGTTCTAATTCCTTCCATATTTTAGGGAAGTGCATTTTTAAGAGGCAATAGGGAAGGTCTTTTTCTACAACCTTAGATAACAGGGATGCAAAACCAGGTAGTATATACAAATATTCCATAATCTGAATGGATTTGAAATCCAAAACACTTCTGTTCCCAAGTATTTTGAATAAGGCGTACTCAACTTGTAAAATGTTCATTTGAGGCTGGGCACAGTGGGTCATGCCTGTAATCCCAGCACTTTGGGAGGCCGAGGTAGGCAGATCATCTCTGAGGCCAGGAGTTTGAGACCAGCCTGGCCAACAGGGTGAAACCCACTCTCTAAACAAGTTAGCTGGGTGTGGTGGGGTGTGTGTGTAGTACCAGCTACTTGGGAGGCTGAGGCACAAGAATCACTTGAGCCTCAAGTGGGAGGTGGAGGTTACGGTGAGCTGAGATCATGCCACTGCACTCTAGCCTGGATGACAGAGCAAGACCAAACCCTTTCTGTAAATATAAATAAATAAATAATGTTTATTTGAGAGATGGTCGGAAATACTTATTATCAATTATCAATTTTTTTTTTTTTTTTTTTTTTTTTTTTTTTGTAGGGACAGGGTCTCGCTATAGACCTATAGAGACAGGTCTTGCTCAGTCTCCTGGCTTCAAGTGATCCTTCAGTATTTAGTAGGTCCAGGGCTGCCTTTAGTCTAAGACTGTTTTGCCCCACCATTGAAGTAAAACCTTTTTTAGTACTGGAATCAGGTTTTCCTGACATTATTGTTCTGCGGGGGATTTCCAGTCTGCTGTTGGGAATAGGCACTATTCTCCACCCTGTGTGAATACTGGGCACTGTCCCCTCCAGTCCCTGCAGGTAGCTCTTAGCCCTGCCTCAGCTGGTTTCTTACACACACACTCTCTTCACATCTCCAGGCTTCTCTTATTGCAGTGCTCTCCTCTCTGGTATTCTTCCCTGCAAACTCTAGCTGCCTGGGTATGTCTGGTCTCTTGGTGCCTTCCCTCAACTCAGGGAGACTGCCAACCTCTGCCTCAGTTCCCCTACCCCAAGGCATGATTCGGAAACTTTCTCCAGGCAGTCAGTTGGAATAATCACAGAACTCATCTCATTTGTTTCCTGCTTTCAGAGATCACCATTCTTCCCTGCCTAATGTCTTAATGTCTTGAGTGCCATCAATTCACATATATATATTTTTTGTTCTATAGCTTTTCAGGTAGGAGATTAAATTCTGTCCTTTTTACTGCATCTTGACTTAAGTTAGAAATCTTGATACAGGCCGGGCGCGGTGGCTCACGCCTGTAATCCCAGCACTTTGGAAGGCCGAGGCGGGTGGATCACAAGGTCAAGAGATCGAGACCATCCTGTTCAACATGGTGAAACCCCATCTCTACTAAAAATACAAAAAATTAGCTGGGCATGGTGGCGCGTGCCTGTAATCCCAGCTACTCGGGAGGCTGAGGCAGGAGAATTGCCTGAACCCAGGAGGCGGAGGTTGCGGTGAGCCGAGATCGCGCCATTGCACTCCAGCCTGGGTAACAAGAGCGAAACTCTGTCTCAAAAAAAGCAAAAAAAAAAAAAAAAGAAATCTTGATACATTTTGCCTCAAAATTGGTTCAAAATTTAATATTAAGTTAAAAAGTTGATGAATATTCAAAATATGATTCCACTAGTGCTTTTAAAAGGCACATAAGCTGGGCGTGGTGGCTCACGCCTGTATTGGGAGGCCGAGGCAGGCGGATCACCTGAGGTCAGGAGTTTGAGACCAGCCTGGCCAACATGGCGAAAACCTGTCTCTACTAAAAATACAAAAATTAGTTGGTTGTGGTAATGGGCAGCTGTAATCCCAGTTACTTGGGAGGCTGAGAGAGGAGAATCGCTTGAACCCGGGAGGTAGAGGTTGCAGTGAGCCAAGATCATGCCATTGCACTCCAGCATGGGTGACAGAGCGAGACTATATCTCAAAAAAAAAAAAAAGGCACATAAATATACTCATAGTTGTCTGTCATTTCTTCAGTTTGTCCATCTTGCCCAAAATCTTTAACTTCAGAGAGTAGGATGGTATAGACCGGGTAAGGACATGGGACTTTTACATTTTGCATTTGTGCACTTCCTTAGTTGAACACAAAATAAGAAACATAAACACTCATAGACTAAACCTTCTTTAAGTAACTTCTTAGAGATTAAGTGACAGTAGAAAGATTTCAGGTTTTAAAAATAACCAGACGCTGGGTGTGGTAGCTCACATCTGTAATCGTAGCACTTTGGGAGGCATGAAAGGCAAGGCATGAAAGCATCCTACTTTTTTCAAGTAATTTAAGTCTCCCAGAGCAAAGCTTAACAATATTTATAGGAATATCAAAATATCTGGCACCCAATGAGAGATTATTAAGTGTACAGAGAAACAGGAAAATTACAACCCATGATGAAAAGAAAAGTCAATAAAAAATGACAGAGATGGTAGAATTAATAAATAAGGACATTAAAACATTTATCATGGCTGGGCATGATGGCTCATGCCCATAATCATAGCATTTTGGGAGGCCATGGTGGGACGATTGCTGGATCCCAGGAGTTCTAGACCAGCCTGGGCAACATAGCAAAAGCTTGTCTCTACTAAAAAAAAAAAAAAAAAAAATGCTGGGCGTGGTGACACATATCTGTAGTCCCAGCTACTTGGGAGGCTAAGGTGGGAAGAGTGCTTGAGCCCAGGAGTTTGAGGTTGCAGTGGACTTTGACGGTGCCATTGCTGTCTGGGCAACATTGAGATCCTGTGTCTGAAACAGAACAAAACTTCCCCAAAAACATTTATGATGAGTATATCCCATGTGCTCAAGAAGCTAGAGGAAAGATGGAACGTGCTCAGTAAAGACAGGGAAGATATTTTTAAAAGACTCAAATCAAACTTCTAGAGATAACACTACAGTGTCTGAGATGAGAAAAACACTGGATGGGATTGAGGCAGATTAGACACTTTGTAAGAAAAGATTTGTGAACCTGACTACATAGCCATAGAAACTATCCGAAAATGAAACACAGAGAAAAAAAGACTGCAAAAAGCAGAGCATCATCTGGATGCGGTGACTCACACCTGTAATCCCATCACTTTGGGAGGCTGAGGTGGGCAGATCACCAGTAGTTTGAGACCAGCCTGGCCAAGATGCCAAAACCCTGTTTCTACTAAAAATACAAAAATTAGCTGGGCTGATGGCACGCACCTATAATCCCAGCTACTTGGGAGGCTGAGGTAGGAGAATCGCTTGAATCCAGGAGGCGGAGGTTGCAGTGAGCTGAGATTGCACCACTGCATTCCAGCACGGGTGATAAAGCAAGACTCCGTCTCAACAACAACAACAAACAGCATTTGTGAACTGTGAGACAGTTGGAGTCTTTGGAGGAGAAATAAGAAACAGGGACAGAAAAAAATTTGAAGACACTGGGTGAACATTTTCCAAATTTGTTAAAACTATAAATCTGTAGATCCAAGAAGCTCAACAAACCCCAGTACAAGAAACGTGAAGACAAGTGTACAAGGCACATCATAATCATATTGCTTAGAATCAGTGCTAAAGAGAAAACCTTAAAAGCAGCTGCAGGAAAAAGACATTGTATACAGAAGCAGATTTCTTATCAGCACCAATGCAAGTTAGAAGTTAGTGGTGTAAAATCTTTAAAGTGCCTACAGAAAAAAACATACCAACCTGGAATTCTTTATCCATTGAAATATCTTTCAAAAACTAAGATGAAATAAAAGCTTTTTCTACATATAAAATGTGAAATAATTATCACCAGCAGACCTATGCTAAAATAACTGTTAAAGGAAGTCCAAGAAGATTTACTAAATAATCTGCTTTTTTTACCAGCTGATTTCAAATGCCTTTGATTGGAAGAATTTTCCTAATTAGTTTTATGCGTTACTCTTTTCACATTGAATTATCCTATATTTGGTTTTGAAGATCTTGTAATCAGAAATTGTAAGCCATAGTGTCTATCTACACAAAACTTCATACAGATGCAGACTTAAATATTTTGAACCTCCTTATCTGGTAATGCATTCACATTTATTTAAATTTTGGTATGTCTAGAAATTTTATCGATAATATTTCTTGCCTGATATATGAATTTTATATCCTTATTTATTTATCTTTGAAGATAGCTCATTCAACAGATTGAGAATTCTGTTGCCCAGGCTGGAGTACAGTGGTGTGATCTCAGCTCACTGCAATCTGCCTTCTGGGTGTAAGTGATTCTCCTGCCTCAGCCTCCTGAGTAGCTGGGAATACAGGTGCTCGCCACCACGCCTGGCTAATTTTTGGATTTTTAGTAGGGTTGGGGTATCACCATGTTGGCCAGGCTGGCCTTGATCTCCTAACCTGAGGTGATTCCCTGCCTTGGCCTCCCAATGTTCTGGGATTATAGGTGTGAGCCACTGCGCCCAGCCTCCTTTGTTATTTAAAATTGATTTTTAAAATAACCACATGCTTGAAATCCTTAAAATTACCCATTTGTTTTTCTCTATAATCAAAGTTCTTCAAAGTATTTCTCTTACATAGTGATTTGGGGAGCCTTATCTAGGTTTATGCTGTGTAGGATTTGCTTGATCATCAGCTGTGGCTTGGATTTAATATTGAAGGACATAGTTTTTTCTTCGTTGCTTAGACAGAAGCTCAACAAGACAGACTCCATAGCAAGAAGTCTGGTGGATTTCTGTCAGATGGCTGACATACCTGTCAGCTTGGTGAGGAAGAGAAATATTCAACAGAAGCTGATTGTCCTGTTTATGTTTTGTCTTTCAAAGGCACTCTGGAGCTGCAAGAGAAGGTGTTTACAACCTCACCAAATCTTTAGCTTTGGAATGGGCCTGCAGTGGAGTAAGGATCAATTGTGTTGCCCCTGTAGGTAAACGTTCTATATTAAAATTTATTGACAAATTATGCTTTTCCGATTCCATTTGTGGTGTTGATAGAGGTGTTTGGTAATATGCAACTGTAGCATAAAAGATTGACTTTAAAAACAGATAAAATCAGAAAGTCTGATTTTCTTTCTTTTTTTTTTTTCTTGAGACAGAGTCTCACTCTGTAGCCCAAGCTGGAGTGCAATGGCACCATCGTGGCTCACTGCAACCTCCACCTCTGGAGCTCAAGCGATTCTCGTGCCTCAGCCTCCTGAGTAGCTGGGACTACAGGTGCACGCCACCATGCCCTGCTAATTTTTTGTATTTTTGTAGAGACGGGGTTTCACCATGTGTTGCCTAGGGTAGTCTCGAACTCCTGAGCTCAGGAGATCTGTCCACCTTGGCCCCTCAAAGTGCTGGGATTACGGGTGTGAGCCACGCCAACACTCCCGGCCCAGAAAGCCTAATTATCATTACGAAAGTACTCTGATTTACAACCAGATTGTCAAGAATGTTTTTTTTTTTTTTTTTTTTTTTTGAGACGGAGTTTCGCTCTTGTTACCCAGGCTGGAGTGCAATGGCGCGATCTCGGCTCACCGCAACCTCCGCCTCCTGGGTTCAGGCAATTCTCCTGCCTCAGCCTCCTGAGTAGCTGGGATTACAGGCACGCACCACCATGCCCAGCTCATTTTTTGTAGTTTTAGTAGAGACGGGGTTTCACCGTGCTGACCAGGATGGTCTCGATCTCTTGACCTCGTGATCCACCCACCTCTGCCTCCCAAAGTGCTGGGATTACAGGCTTGAGCCACCGCGCCCGGCTGTCAAGAATGTTAAATTAAAACAGTGATTCTCAATTCTGGCTATATATTAGAATTATCTGTGAAATGTCTAAACAATAGTGATGTATGAACTTTACCCCAAACCGTAGGATCTAGGCATCTAAATTTTTTAAATAGACTAGAAAATTCAAATGCAGCGTAAATGTTGAGAGCGACTTGAGGGAATTTTTCCAGATTGTTTTATTTCCTGGCATATCATTAACTTTTTTAAGACAGAGAAACTTAAAGTCAGAGTTCTAACAAGGAACTCCCAGTTTAAGATGGACTAGAAGTCAAGGGAAAACTTCTCTGAATAATACAAATGATAGGAGGGAAACTCACATTGTTGTCAACTTCAAAAACTATCATTTTTGTGAAATAAGAAGTGTAGGTTTCTTTGTTATTTTATACTGGCCATGTACTCTAAGAGGGAGATGAAATGAAATACCTCACTTGTCTGGCATAACTCAACTCAAATCCCACTTCTGGGATGTTTCTTGGTCATTACTAAGGTAGTGATCACTTCTTCATCTGAAACTCTGTAATATTTTTTGATATATCTGTCGGTCTTATCTCTGTAATATCAGTAGGTGTTATCTGTACCACTCAATGAAGACTAAGCATGACTGACTTCAAGCATGAAGTTAGTAATCTCATCTCTAATAAAGGCGCTCCTACTAGTACTAATTCATGTTTGTCAGAGACATTTTTGGTTTAATGACCAAATTTTAATATTTCTAGATTTTATCCTCTTTAAGTAAAAGGCTACACATTGTTTAATTGGAAACCAATGTATTTTTTCTCCAGTATCATTTGAAGTAATGAATACTGCCAGAATTTCTAGTTTTATTTTAACTTATCTTTCCCCCGTCTCTCCATAATCTGTGTAACAGTTTGAATTCATTACAAATAGCTGTATCCTGTGAGACATAGTTTTTTTGTTTGTTTGTTTTTGTTTTTTAATGTTTGAGACAAGGTCTCGCTCTGTTGCCCAGGCTGGAGTGCAGTGGTGCGATCACGTCTCCCTCCAGCCTCAACCTCCTGGGCTCAAGCGATCCTCCTAACTCAGCCTCCTGAGTAGCTGGAACCACAGGCATGTACCACCATGCCCAGCTAATTATTTTTTATATTTTTGTAGACATGCAGTCTCTCTATTTTGCCCAGGCTGGTCTCAAACTTCTGGGCTCAAGCCATCCTCCTGCTTTGCCCTTGCAAAGTGCTGGGATTGCAGGCATGAACCACTGCACCTGGCCAGGGATACAGTTTTTGAGTAATTTTCCTAACCTCAGAAAGCTAGTGAAAGATACATTTAAAAATTCTTAAACAATTACAATTTTAGTTTATTGGTATTGGATTCAAATGCTTTATTTGTGATTTCAATCTAGGTGAAAAGCCAAAAAATAATTACATTTTTCTAAGCCTCACGTAGCCACTGCCCAGTCTTCTCTTGTAAAGCAGAGATGCCAAGTGGAAGATAAAATAGAGTCCCCTGGTCCATTGTTCCTAGTTAAGTGCCTCTTTCATTTATATAATTATGATTTATATAAAGATATGATTATCTTTCTTATAGAAAATTATATAATTATGCCCCTCAGAAAGCAAGTCTTTCATGAAAAAATCCGGGGCATGGCCAGGAGGAAGAGGAGTTTGCAAAATAATCATTCATATCATCCATTTATGGATAGTGGGGCCTTTGCTCCTTTGACACCATTGAGAAAAATTAATATCAGCACTGTTAACTTTTTTTTTGACTTAAGCTACTGAATGTTCGAAATGCTGGCAGACTATCTTGAAATCTTTACAATTAACATTTAATGTAATGCACTTTATTTTGTCCCTGTTTTATTTTTAAATATAGGGAATTATTTATTCCCCCACTGCTATGGCGAACTATGGTTCTTTGGGGCAAAAGTTATATGAAAGTTATTTTCAGAAAATCCCTGCTAAACGAATTGGTGTTCCTGAGGAGGTAAGGTATATTCCTAGCATTGATTAGAATTGCTGCGTGTGTTATACTTTGAAATTTGTAATTGAGTGTCCTTTTTCTTCTTTCTTTCTTTCTTTTTTTTTTTTTGTTTTTGAGATGGAGTCTCACTCTGTTGCCCGGGCTGGAGTGCAGTGTCATGATCTTGGCTCACTGCAACCTCTGTCTCCCAGGTTCAAGAGATTCTCCGGCCTTAGCCTCTCTTGTAGCTGGGACTACAGCTGTGCACCACCACACCTAGCTAATTTTTGTATTTTTGGTAGAGACAGGGTTTCACCATGTTGGCCAGGCTGGTCTCAAACTCCTGACCTCAGGTGATCCACCTGCCTCAGCCTCCCAAAGTGCTGGGACTACAGGCGTGGCCACCGTGCCTGGCCCCAGTGTCCTTTTTATGTTTTCTTATTATTTCTCCCACTGCCACCAGACCATTTCCTCTGTTCTTTCTGGCTCTCAGGGATATTCTGGTTGTACTTTGATTACTGACAGCCATCTATACTCAGGAGTAGATGCGGGGTTTTTTGTTTGTTTGTTTTATTGTTTTTTCAGCTACGTTATTTTATTACATGGCATTTGTTGGTACACAGGACCCTAGCACCCTAAGCAAGTCAGATGAGTATGGCTGTATGACGTTCCACATGAGATTTCAGTAAGCTTGAAGTCTGTAAAATCAGCAGCTTTCCAAAATATGGGCAGCAGCAGTCTTTTTTTTTTTTTTTGCTTGAGACGCGGTCTCACTCCATTATGCAGGCTGAGTACAGTGTCACTATCATAGCCCACTGAAGCCTTGGACTCTCATCTTGGCCTCCCAGCATGCTGAGATGATGATGACGATGGCGATGATTTTTTTTAACAGAGCCTCTCTCTGTCATCCAGGCTGGAGTGCAGTGGCTCACTGCAACCTCCATCCCCTGGTTCCAGTGATTCTCCTGCCTCAGCCTCCCAAGTAGCTGGAATTACAGGTGCGTGCTACCACGTCCAGCTGATTTTTGTATTTTTAGTAGAGACAGGGTTTCACCATGTTGGCCAGGATGGTCTCAAACTCCTGTCCTTAAGTGATCTGCCCACTTTGGCCTCCCAAAGTGCTGAGATTACAGGCGTGAGCCAACGCACCTGGCCTTGCATCAGTCTTGAAATGTAATTTTTTTTTTTTAATAAGAAAAGGATATCTTTTCCATAGTAATAAAAATGAAAATACCCAGTAGTAAACTTACCACTAAATGAAAAAAATAAATCACCTGCCTCCTTAGGGCAGTAGGCAGTGTGTCAGTTTCATAAATGAAAAAAAAATTTCTTTTTCTGAGGAGCAGCCAAAAGACCAGAATAACTAGTGGCATATAATATTCTTTGATGGGGAGAACCACTTTTATTACAAAGTCAGGTTTTTCTAAATTATTTAAAAAATTTAATATGTTTTGGGAATTTAACATGCTGATTCTATCAAAAATATATATTTATTTACATACTGTGTATTTACATACTATGAAACTATATTTATTTACATACTGTATATTTACATATTATGAAGCTATATTTATTTAAAGCTTCTGGTGCTGGTACTGAAAAACAAAAAAATAGTAGTACAAAACAGATTCTTGCCTTGGAACCATATGTGGGAGTTTATGGAGTCAAAGTAGGATTCCAATCTGTAAGGAAAGGATGAACCACTCAGCAAAGTGTTGGGGCATTTCACTGTTTATGAGTAAATTAGACTGCCTATCTTGTATCACATACAAAATAATTTTCAGATTTATTAAAGTGCTAAATATAAAAGCAAACCCATAAAACTCTTTAAAAGAATTCTCATTCCTAGAACTAGCTTTTGTTATGTTTGATGAGTGTCTTTCCAGAAATGTACTATGCATGCATGAAAAATTTGTATTTATTGACTTTTTTTTTTTTTTTTTTTTTTTTTGAGATGGAGTTTCACTCTCGTTGCCCATGCTGGAGTGCAATGACACAATCTCGGCTCACCACAAACTCTGGCTCTGGGTTCAAGTGATTCTCCTGCCTCAGCCTCCTGAGTAGCTGGGATTACAGGCATTCGCCACCACGCCCAGCTAATTTTGTATTTTTAGTAGAGACGGGTTTCTCCCTGTTGGTCAGGCTGGTCTTGAAATCCTGACCTCAGGTGATCCGCCTGCCTTGGTCTCCCAAAGTGCTGGGATAACAGGCATGAGCTACCGTGCCTGGCCTATTTATTGATTTTTTACAAAAACAGTATCTTGCTGTATGTTTTCTTGTTATGGATATACTGTAATATAATCAAATCCCATTATGATTTGGATTCTATTTATATTTTTGTTCTTGGGGTAATTCTGCAGTGAACATTATGAATATAATCATGTACTCTTGTGTGACGGGATATGTTTCTAGAAACAGAGTTCCTGAACCAAAATAGACTTGCGTTATATTTTTGAAGATATTGTTAAATCAAACATTTGATGAGCCATGTTAACCAAGGTGTTTGGATTTTTATTCTGAAAACTAAGAGTAATTTTTAATGAATTTTAATCAAGGGAATTATATTAAATTTTTATTTTGGATAGAATACTTTGTTTACAGGGCTGGGTGCTGTGGCTCATACCAGTAATCTCAGCACTTTGGGAGGCTGAGGTGGGTGGGTCACCTGAGGCCAGGCATTCAAGACTAGCCTGGCCAACATGGCGAAACCCCGGCTCTACTAAAAATACAAAAATTAGCCAGGCGTGGTGGTACATACCTGTAGTCCCAGCTACTTGGGAGGCTGAGGCAGAAGAATTGCTTGAACCCAGGACATGGAGGTTGCAGTGAACTGAGATCACGCCACTGCACTTCAACCTTGGTAACAGAGTGAGACTCCTTCTTAGAAAAAGAGAGAATACTTTGTTTATGTGGTTTACGTTATCTATATTTGCTGTATTAGAAATTAAAACCAAAATTTAAGAAATGTTTAATTCATTTAAAAATAGTAATAAAGCAGTACATGTTAACATGAATAACATTTAATTAAAAATAGCTACATAAACCATTGTTTTTTGTTTTGTTTTGTGTTTTGAGATGAAGTGTTGCTCTGTCACCCAGGCTGGAGTGCAGTGGTATGATCTTGGCTCACTGCAACCTCTGACTCAGAGCAAGCAATTCTTTTGTCTCAGCCTCCTGAATAGCTGGAACTACAGGTGCACGCCACAACGTCCAGCTGATTTTTGTATTTTTAGTAGAGACAGGGTTTCTCCATGTTGGTCAGGCGGGTCTCTAACTCCTGATCTCTGGTGATCCACCCACCTCAGCCTCCCAAGGTGCTGGGATTACAGGTGTGAGCCAGTGAACCCAGCTGAAAACCACTGTTTGACATTTGTTCTACATTTTTACAAATCTCTTTAATGTATGACTTAATAGAACACAGCTGGACTCTCACCTCTGCATCTGTATTCAGCCTATCGCAATACGTTGTTTTGGTAAAAGCCTCTAAAAAATTTTGGCTTCATAAAGATATAAAATTGGAAAAGGAAGGAACATTTTAATAGCCTTTTTGGATAATTGTGGATCTTCTTCTTTGATATTCAACAAATGGCAGTTTCTTAAGGATTCGTTGCAATGTGGAATCTGAAACCATGCCAATGAACATTTTGTACTCTTGCATTAAAATCTTTCTCATGTACTTGTTGACTTAGTTAATTGGGAGGATGAGGAAGGAAGATCACTTGAGCCTAGCTTGGGCAACGTAGCAAGACTCTGTCTCTTAAAAAAAAGTCCTTATTACAATTCGATGGGATCTTTCACCCATATATGGTTTTGTACCATCAGACATTGGTCTTTTAGAAGTTATTGGTTCACTTTGTTAGGCAGATCTTCTAAATGTTGACACAATTCATTATACAGTATCAAAAGATCACATTGTTACTGTCTCCATCAATCTGTTCTGAAAAGTCTTTTAAGTGTTAGGAAGCTAGCAGGCTCAAGCTAGCAGGTACAAGTTTTCCAAAATTCTAATTTTCACTTGGAGCCTCCCAGGTTCAAGTGATTCTCCTGCCTCAGCCTCCTGAGTAGCTGGGACTACAGGCATGTACCACCATGTTCGGCTAATTTTTGTATTTTTAGTAGAGATGGGGTTTCACTATGTTGGTCAGGCTGGTCTCTAACTCCTAACCTTAGGTGATCTGCCCGCCTCGGCCTCCCAAAGTGCTGGGATTACAGGCGTGAGCCACTGCATCTGGCCCGATTTTTGTGTTTTTGAGAGAGTGTGGTTTAGCAACTGTTGGAGGTCATGATCACTTGGGTGAGATGGTTGTTGTCTGGCTGGCATTTCAGAAAGGAGCTAATTGGAGTGAGTCTCTTTTTGTTGGGCTGACTGTAACGAAACATGTTCATTGGGTCAGTTGTCACTAATGGATTAACAGGGTTAAAACCAGCTCTGTTGCTTGTTACCATGGCTCAGTTCAATCTGCCTTTCACAGCAATGTGGGACCTTTTAAATGGTGGATTCTATACCAGCTCTGTTCAATAGAAATAAAATAATAGTCTGGTTGAGCACAGTGGCTCATGCCTGTAATCCCAGCACTTTGGGAGGCCAAGGCAGGTAGATCACAAGGTCAGGAGTTTGAGACCAGCCCAGCCAGTATGGTGAAACCCCATCTCTACTAAAAACACAAAAATTAGCAGGCGCATGCCTGTCATTCCAGCCACTTGGGAGGCTGAGGGAGGAGCATTTCTTGAACCTAGGAGGCAGAGGTTGTGGTGAGCCAAGATTGTGCCATTGCATTCCAGCCTGGGCAACAAGAGTGAAACTCTGTCTCAAAAAAGAAAGAAAGGAAGAAATATAATAATAGTCACATTTGCAATTTTAAGCTTTCCAGGAGCCACATAAAGTAAAAAGAGGTAAAATTAGTTTTAATAATATGTTTGACTTAGCCTAATACATCCAAAACAACATCATTTCAATATGCAATCAACATAAAAAAATTGAGATTATTTTCTTTACCCCTTGGAGCATTCAGGATTAATAAGATATTTCACAGTATTTTTCCCATACGGGGTCTTCAAAATCCAGTGTGTGTTCTACACTTACAGCACATCTCAATTTGGACCAGCCGTATTGCAAATGTTAGAGTAGGCGTCTATGGCTAGTGGCCTCGTTTTAGACAGTACAGTTCTGTACTAGCTGCTGGGAATACAAGGATGGAGAGAAGGCTCGGCTGCTCTCCAGGATAGCTTTGTAAATGTAGGACCAGGACCGGGATGAGGTAAGCAAGGCACGGACACAAAATTGAAGGATGCACTCTCTTAGGGAAGACTTTGCACTCGCTTGTGCAAAGCCGAGAGTGAATAACCCCTTAAATCATGCACCCTCTGCACCTTATGTGCCTCACTCTAGGCCTGGGCCTGCCTCAGGGCCTTTTAAACTGCAGATTCTGGGACCCCCAACCCCAGAGCTTACAATTCCTGTGATCCTGAAGGGATCTAGGAGTCTGGAGTTTGAGTAAGCATCCCCAGCGATTCTAATGCAGGTGTTTTGGATTATCACCCTTTGAGAAACTCTGCCTCTTCCCACAACCTCAAATGAGAGCTCCTTTATAATCAGTGAAATAACCTCTTTCTGTTTGGGCTGGGAGTGGTTGTTGCTGAACTCATCAGTTCCTTATTTGAATTTTTAAGGGGTGCAGTGGGAGTCTGAAGTGCCCTTTTTTTTTTTTGAGATGGGGTCTTACTTTGTCACCCAAGCTGGAATATAGTGATGCCATCTCGGCTCACTGCAGCCTCCCAGGCACAAGCAATCCTCCCACTTCAGCCTCCCAAGGAGCTGGGACCATAGGCACCTGCCACTACACCCAGCTAGTTTTTGAAGTTCTTCTTGTAGAGAGTTCCTTTGAGTGTGTGTTGCTGGGCTTTTAGCCTGAATGGACCACAAACTGAACAAACCAGAATGCTAGTTTATTGCCAAACAGTTGACTATTTCAGGAACCAAAATATAAAGGCATGAAGTAGTGATGGAAAATGGGGTTGTGGAGGACAATGCAAGGTATGTAAGGAAGTGAACTGTTTGAAATGGGAAAGAGCTGAGCTGAAGCACCGAGTCCACTTTTGGCTTCTTCACGTCATGTAGCTTGCTTTGACACCATCTAAAGCTCCCTCGTACTTTGCTACCTTGACCCTAGTCACCTACCTGATTTCAGTGATGCTCAGGTAGAAAGGGAAAGTTGTGGAAAAAGGAAGTTGTCTATGTACTGTGTGATTGTGGTGCACACTGTTGTATTCATGTTGTGGTCATGTGCTTTGACTTTTTTTTTTTTTCTTTAAATAGAGACGGGGTTTCACCATGTTGGCCAGGATGGTCTCGATCTCCTGATCTCGTGATCCACTTACCTCAGTCCCCCAAAGTGCTGAGATTACCGGCGTGAGCCACCACGCCTGGCTCATATGCTTTGAGATGTCTTCACTAGGGAATGTGAAGCCGTTAGAAATGGGGAGTGTTTGCTTTTACATATGCATGTGTGTGTTTCTGTTTCCAGATCTCCTCTCTGGTCTGCTTCCTACTGTCTCCCGCAGCTTCCTTCATCACTGGACAGTCGGTGGATGTGGATGGAGGCCAGTGTCTCTATTCTCATTCGTTTGAGTTACCAGGTGAGCAGCTGAGGAGTGAGCAGTCACCAACTTTAAAATGTATTATACGTAGTTACTTAAGAGATGAGGGTGTTCTCTTATAGAACATCAAAATGTACAAAATGTTTATATTCATGAAGTGATTTTTTTGTTTGTTTTGAGACGAAGTCTCATTCTGCTGCCACGCTGGAGCGCAGTGATGCGATCTCTGTCTCTTGATTCAAGTGATTCTCCTGCCTCAGCTTCCCGAGTAGCTGGGACTACAGGTGGGAACCATCATGCCCAGCTAATTTTTTTGTATTTTAGTAGAGACGGGGTTTCACCATATTGGCCAGGATGGTCTCAATCTCCTGACCTCATGATCTACCCACCTCAGCCTCCCGAAGTACTGGGTTTACAGGCGTGAGCCACTGTGCTGGCCCATGATGTGATTTTTTAATGAAATATTCCTAGTCATAGAAAATATCGAACTATCTTTATTAAAGAACTTAGCTTTTTGCGCGTGCATAGGTTGGTGGAATTTGAACCCTGAAAAATATTTTCAGTATGAGAATATATATCTAAAGAGGAGATAGAAAAAAGGCAAGATTGTGCTATAGTTTTAAAGACTTAATTCCATTTTGTTCCTCCAATAAGTGGCTTACATATCTGAGCAGAAGAATCAGACCTGCTGAGTGAGGTGGGGTGCTGTAGTGCCATTTTGCATTCTCTTTGGGATATATATTGAATGAAACCATATGAAATTTCTGTATTCATCATTTTTGATGTACAGAAACAGAAGTTTGGCCAGGCATGGTGGCTCATGTTTGTAATCCCAGCACTTTGGGAGGCCAAGGTGGGTGTATCACTTGAGGTCAGGAGTTTGAAGCCAGCTTGGCCAACATGGTGAAACCCTGTCTCTACTAAAAATATATTTAAAAAAATATTAGTCAGGCGTGGTGGTGGGTGCCCGTAGTCCCAGCTACTTAAGAGGCTGAGGCAGGTGAATCGATTGACCCTGGGAGGCAGAGGTTGCAGGGAGCCGAGATTGCATCACTGCATTCCAGCTTAGGTGACAGAGTGAGACTCTGTGTCAAAAAACAAAACAAAACAAAACAAAACAAAAACCCAGAAGTTTTATAAGTTTCAATCAAATATTGATATTACATGCAAATGTCGTGTGTGTGTGTGTGTGTGTGTGTGTGTGTGTGTATGTGTGTGTATCTCATGACTAGACAACAGAACTTTGGTGTCTGAAGGGTCCTAAAAGATCAGAAAGTCCAGTATACTAGTTTTATAAACAACAAAACAAATCCACAGAAGTTTAAAGGTTTGTCCAAGCTAATAACTCTAAATCACTCCAAAAATGTAGAAAAGGATATAAAATGCAAATGTATTTGAACTTCTGTTGCTAAAGATAATTAAGCGGCTACTAGCAAATTAACACGTGGTTGATGTAACCCAGGCAAGTTTGAATTTCATATCAAGGACCCAGGTTCTACCCACTCTTTTCGGTGGTGACAGTCGGATCAAGGCTTAAGACGTTTTTTGCATTAATAAATGATGGGTATGTCTGAGAGGTGAGCAGAAACTCTAACTGGCTTTCCTCTGCTCTCACAATGCAATGACCATTAGCACTGAATACTTCTGTGGCCAGTTTGGGGTTACTTCCCCCAAACGCTAAGCGAGCAAGTGAGCGATTCTGCAGCAGACCCCAGCTGGGCATCCTCTTATTCAGTTCTGATACTGGAGATAGGGTCAGGTCCGGCAGGCTCAGGCCTCAGTTCCACAAGATGCCCCCTGCTTTGGACACAGTCATAAAATTGGGTCTCCAAAACTTCTGACTGACCAGCTTCAAGTTGGGGTTCCCATGACCCCCTCTTTGGGGTGGAGTAATTTGCTACAGCAGCTCACACAAGTCAGGAAAACACTTAGATTTACTGGTTTATTGTACAGGATATTACAGGAGATACAGCTGAAGAGGTGCACAGGGCAATGCGTATGAGAAGGGGCATGTGGCTTCTGTGTCCCTTTGGGCCCCACCACCTGCCAGGAACCTCCATGTGCTCAGCTCTCTGGAAGCTCTTGAACTCAGTCCTTTTGGGTTTTTATGGAGGCTTCATTACATAGGCATGGTTAACTAAACAATTGGCCATTGGTGATCGACTTAACCTCCAGCCCCTCTTCCCTCCCCAGAAGTTGGGTGGTGGGTATGGGCTGAAGGTCCCAACCCTCTAATCATGCCTTAGTCTGTCTGGTGACCAGCCCCTATACTGACGCCAACTAGGGACTGCCAGCCATCAGTCAACCATTAACATGATTGTGTATGCAGAAAATGGGGCTGAAGACCAAATGTATGTTTCACAATATCACAGAATAGAACTTTTTTTTTTTTTTTTTTTTTTTTTTTTTTTTG